TAGGAGCAAGGTGTGTTGATGGCCGCCTTTCTCAAGGAGAACACAGGTGGTGACCAGATCCTCTGAAAGCAGAAGAATCAACTGTGTAATGTCTTAAATTACTGACCCTGACACAGGCTTGCTGAGTTTCCCTGCCTTCCAAGGTGTCAAGAGAGGCTAGATATTTTCTTTATGCCCCAAAGTGGCATAGATGGGGAAACAAAGAGCTATTGGACCTAAAGAGATCCTGTGGAAGGAAATGAAGAATGACTCATAGGGTTTTGCCTGGGCTGCTGGCCAAGGGCCTGATGGATGGCTGGGTCTTTCCGCAGATGCCAGCATGTGTAGATGATAAGCAAAGACGAGAGGTTACCATCTGTGCAAATATAACAGACAGGCTTGTTGTGACAAACAGGCATACCTTGGTTTCTGGAACTTAGATGCAACCTTATGGAAAACAGGTGCTACTACAGAAAAGCAGATGGGATGGGAGGGAAGACCCTGAATATAGTATAGACATTGACAAGCCATTTGATTTATAAAGTTTTATTTGCTCATCACTGATCAAGTCCAAACCTCTCATTTTAAAGACTGAAGAAACTGAGACCCAGAGACCCTAAACAATTAATAAATTATAAAGTAGATAAGTCCTTGTCTTCTGATGCCACAAGATTACTGCTTTTTATTTCCTCTCTGGCTCTCTCACTCACTTGCTCAACATTTGTCAAGGAACTACTGGCATTAGATACACGTGTGTTAGAGTAAAAAGGGAATTCCTTCCTGCAGCTCCTACTCCTTCCCCACAGGGGTCTCTGTGATTAGATATGATCTCTAAGATCCCAAGGGCTGTTGCCACTGTGGAGTAAACTTGATCCTCAACAGGTGGGTCCCCCAGCAGATCCTTGGTCCTCTCTTAACTTGTATAGCGATTTCTTGGAGAGCCTGGGCGGTGCTTTCAGGCTGACAAACTGTCACTCAAAAAAAATAGAAAGTTGTTTGTTGTTTTAGTGGAGTAGCTGGGAGCATAGTCTAAGTAGTAACCCCCTTTACAGACCATACTTGTCTGGGCGTGCCTGCAAATCACTTGAGCCAAATCCTATTAAGTGGGGACTGCAGAAAGTCTTCAGGAAGGAAGCAAATCCTATAAGAGGGTTTCTCAAACGTCAAATTTGCATAGGAATCTTGTAGGGTCTTTTAAAAATACAAATTCTGATTCAATAGGTCTTGCTGGGGCCTGAGAACCTGCATTTCTAATCAGCTCCCAGGGGATGTTAATGCTGCTAGGTCCCCTAGCAATAGCAAAGCTATAAAATAGGCATGCAAACTCAGATTTCAAGCCAGTGGCAGATGTGTAAAGTAGAAGAGTACATCATGTTGGGAACGAATAGCAACCACAGAGAACTAGAGCATGCATGCTTCTCCTCCAAGCATTCAAACAACAAAATTATGCTAGGACAACAAAAACATCACCCCACTAACTTTCTACTGCTGTGCAGAGGAAAAGTGAGAGAGGTAGGCTTGGTCTAATAGCAAAATCTGAATAAGAATATTTTTTCACATACATACTCTTATTACACAGGGTTTATTCTGGCTTGCTCAGAATTTTCTATTTGTTTACTTCTCCACAGACTCATGTCTTAAGTATCATGGAAAACAAGGAACATTGTAGTGAGCTGTTGCACTTAAAACTTTCTAATAGGGTGGCACCTAGAATTGCCTAAACCCAAGAGCTGGAGGTTGCTGTGAGCTGTGACGCCACAGTACTCTACCAAGGTGACAAAGTGAGACTCTGTCTCTAACCCCCCCCCAAAAGAACTTTCTAATATATTTAGCCATGGACGACATACCTCTGCTTTCCCTTTCTAATAGAAAAACAAAAGCAGTAACAGAGAGAGAAGCATTCTCCTCCATTTGTAATGAGGAGGTGCAACTTTAGCACCTTGAGTGTTTCTCTGAACTCACAGAAGTTGTAGAATCAGGTTCTCAGGGGAAGCAACAGCCATGGTGCCAAGTAGGGTGAAGCCTGCAGAAGGAGGGCTGGAGTGGGGGGGTGGGGGGGGACAGCTAACAGCAACTGTTAAAATTTGCTCATAAGAAGCCTGAGAACACCCAGAAATACCAGTGTGGAGTTGGGTAGGAGTGATTAGGTTGTCTAGGGACATACATTGGGAGATGGGGCAAAAATCTGCCAAATACAAGTTACATTAAGATCACTAGGGAATGGACCATTTGTCTTATGTGATCATTTGTGCTATATTATTTTATATTTCACCATTATTTCCACCTTTTGAAAGGTTAGGTCAGCAGGCTCAGTGCCTATAGCTCAAGCAGCTAAGGTGCCAGCCACATATACCAGAACTGGTGGGTTCGAATCCAGCCCAGGCCTGCCAAACAACGATGACTACTACAACCAAAAAGAATAGCCAGCCAGGTGTTGTGGTGGGCGCCTGTAATCCCAGCTACTTTGGGAGCTGAGGCAAGAGAATCGCTTAAGCCCAGGAGTTGGAGGTCACCGTGAGCTGAGATGCCACGGCACTCCACCCAGGGTAACAGCTTGAGGCTCTGTCTCAATAAATAAATAAATAAATAAAAAATAATAATAAAATAAAAAAAGAAAGGTTAGACCAGCACAATCCAATAGAGGTATAATGCTAGCCATTTGTGTAATATAATGTTCTATTAGCCACATTAAAAAAAGTAAAAAGAAAAAGAGGTGAAGTTCATTTTAATGATATGCCCATTTTAATTCAATAGCCTTTCAACATGTACATAAATATTAAAAATTGTTAATGAGATTTTTTGCACCCTTTTTTGTACTAAGCCTTTGAAATTCAAAGTATATTTTATTCTTTTTTTTTTTTTTTTTT